GGTGGGTGTCGTCGAGCTGTAGGGTTCGGAAGAGTTGTCTATACATTATTTCAATGAAACTCCCTTCATCGACCAAGACGCGATGAACCTCAAAATTAGCCATCCTCGCCCTGACCAGAAGAGGGATGCTTGAGTTAGGGGCCCCTCCGGGAAATTTTTGGAGGTAGAACGTGATCGGATCCGATCTGCCCTTGACCCTCTCGAATGTCACCGTTTGCGGAGGGCCGCATCGACCAGTTCGTCCAGTTTCCTCTTTGCGGATTTTATAGATATGTAGTTGAACCTCCCACCATTTATGACCATGGCGGAGGGGAATCTTTCCCACCCACTGTGCATGGACAGAGGTTCTTCGATGTCGTTGGGGACATAGAAGTCCTTCAGTCTCATAACGGAGAATGATGTCTGGATGGGGATCGTCTCCTCTGTTGGTCGGGGGTCATCATCAGTCTCCTTTACATTGCAGAAATCTCGACGCGGGTCGTAGCTGCGCCGATATTGCCCGAGTCTTACCCCTTTAATGAGGCTCTCTATAGCATCTTTGAGATGGACACAATCTTCAATCAGGTGTCCATGACTTCGATGATATTGACAGTAATTTCTTTGATCAGCTCTAGGCTTAGCAGGAGAAGAGCGAGGACGTCTGACGCCGCTGTCCTTGAAATCAATATTAGCACACTCCGCCAAGATGCGCTCGTGGGAAGCTGTCAGCGGAGTGTACTCAGTAAATCACCTCGCAGGCCCTCTTTGCTCGCGGGGATCCTGTGGTTTGTCATCCCTCATCTTCTTGCCCGTTCGCCGAGGAGGGCCTGAATCTTGTTGTTGCAGATTGCTGGTTGATCCATGATTCCTTGGGTCCCGAGCTTTATTGGTCGCTTCCCTCTTCATAGTCCATATAGGCCCTAGCCTTTTCAAGGAGACCATCGAATGTCCGTGATGGTTCGATGCCAATAGCTTTTCTGAACTATGTGCCCGGGACGAGTCCCCTCTCGAGCGGGTATCTCTTCATATGATCGGTGCAAGGGACCTGAATGGCCTCGCGGTTAAACCGATAAATAAACTCCCTAAAGGTCTCTTCTCTTCTCAAGACGATGGCTTTGAGGGCTGCCTCAGCCTTTGGGTGTCGACGTGAGGCAGTGAATGAGCTGATGAACTGGTTTTTCAAGTTTTTCCAGGAGGTAATTGACCCCGGGGAGAGGCTCTTATACTAGTCCATCACATTCTTCCTTAGAGTCATGGGGAACAACTGACATTTGATCGGTCCCCCGATATTATGATAGTGCAGCATTGCCTCGAACCCGTCGATATGGTCGACTAGATCTACAATGTCGTCGTACTCCTTCAGATGGGGAGGTTTCTCCATACCTGAGGGAATGGGTGCCTCCATAATAGCCTGGGAAAGGAGACCGCGGGGGTCGTCTTCGTCAATTCTGTCTGGAGATCGAGAAGGCGACTTATTGTAATGGCGGTTGTAATGGCGGCCCTGGTCGCGTGGAGGATCCCTCGACCGGTGTCGTTGTATATCATTCCCATTGTTTCTGTTTCCAGGGGGTCTTCTCTCTTGGCGTGGGGGAATATGATCATGCCTCCCCGTATCAACGGGTTGATCCCTCTCCAATGCGGGGCGTCGCTCGGTTTGTCAGGGAGATGGGCTTCGAGAGGCATCCAGTCTACGTCTCCGTAGGGGAGATTGAGGATGATCCTCTATTTGACGGGGAGGAGGAGAATCAGGCCTCCTATGTCTTCTGGGAGCTCTCCAAGAATCTTAGAGCACCCTTAATCTCTCCCCTTGCAAAAAGATCAAGTAGTTTTTTGATTTATTGTCGCGAACAATGCTTTGGTCGTGGCATCAGCACCCGCGGGAACTGGGACCTCCTAGAACGCGGGCAATTGGTAGTTTTGAGGAGAACTACGATCATCCTCGAGTCGTCTGGACAGTGATGACGATGAGGCAGTCAGTCCATCTCTATACTCTGAGGTTTCGGGCATGTCACCAGCGTGGCCGTTATTGTTGCCGGTGTTGTTATTGTTACCAGGGTTGAGGCCAACAGGACCAGTGTTGTTGATATCGGTGTTATGGTCAGAGACATTATTGTTGATGTCGGCGGTATGGACATTCAAGTTGTTTTCTTCCATGAGATCAACCTTGATAGTCAAAAAGGAGTTGGATTAGCTTTTGTCTTGGATGAATGAAATACAGGGAAGTTGTGATTCCCACAGACGGCGCCACTGATCGTACCTGACTAGAATGGACTGTCACAGCTTGTGTCGAGCAAAACTTGAGAGTGAGATGTTATCATATAATATTAACTTGTTATTTATCATCTTTTGTTGTTATTATTATTTAACTATTTAAATGTGTGGTGTCAAATGTTAACATAGCTGGGTTGTCAAACCTTTTTTAAATTTTTTTGTCTAAAATAATTAATAATTTATTTTAAATAATTCAATTTTTGGATAACACGACTCTAATTGTGTTATGTTTGATTTAAAAACTATTTATACTAATGGAATAACTAGACAAAAGTTAAAATATTTCTCCCTTATAAAATTATAGAATAATTTTTTATCTCAATTACAGGTTGTACTAGATAAAAGTACAATATATGTAACAACCCCTGACAACCCCTAAAGGCTAAGGGTTATTAAATACTTTAAGATAGTTAGGATAATGTGAGTTAGTTTAGGTGGGGTCTGAAACTACTGTATAGATGCATTTCTTAATGTTATCGGTCCCCTAGTGTGAAAATAATGATGTATTTATACTCCATGGATTTGAACTGAGTCTCATATAATTTAGCAACCACTCTAAGCATGAATGGTTGATTCCCTAAAAACCCAGGAGGTATGATTAAGTCTCATGACTTTCTATTTAATGTTTGTTGAATCGATGGATGCTCTACGCATGATCGCGTGTTACAGATGGGAAACCTAAAGACTCATGCCACACATATAGACAAGGGGTGCTCGAATCGAAACAGGGACGCTCGGGCTAATGCAAGGGCAATTATGGAAGAATGAAGGTTCCAAATGTGTCCCTCACCTCTTCCCAAGGTCCTTATAAATTATATTACTACACAGTCCCTCAAGAACGATGGATCATAGAGGTTAAAGAGTTTTTAATCCCCAGACTCATGTTTGGACCTTCGTAGAGAGCCCTGTCAAGGTTTTGCTCTTGCCCTCAGGTCTTGAATGACCCTTCTAGGAGAGACTCAATATATGTGAATGCACCTTTCTATTAGAGATGTTTTGTATGATGTCAAAACTAGGACATTATTCTCGGTTACACAAAAACCTAATTGAACGTTATCAAACCTCGCATAGATGGCACCCTGATAAAAGATGATTATGTTTGATTTATCAGTGTGTATGCATAGGTTGGAGGTTGAAGATGAAGAGAAATGGTTGTAAGTGTTTATAGTTTCACCGAGTTGGAAAAATGCATGAGTGATGTATTTATAGTAGTGGAAGTTTTAGGCAAAAGTGGGAAGTTTTGGAATGAAAAAATTATGAAAAATTGACCCACAAAACAGTATAGGCTGACCTGAAACTCGTATAGACCGACACATGCAAAATTGTAGCTACAGACTTTAATAATGAATAGCATGTGTCGATGCATAAATCGTATAGGCTGACGCATGTGCATGTGTTTTAAAGCAGAAATGATGAATGCGGTGTAAGCTTTAATATTGAAGCAAATGTTTCGGCGCATAGATCGTATAGGCCGGCCTATAAGCCTGTTTTTATGCAGAAACTAATTTTTCATGATTGGGATCAATTTCAAACTTGTTTTGAATGGTTCCTAAGACTTCTAAATGCAAGGGGTGCCAAAACAACTCAGAAATACCGTATAATATACATAAATGCTAAGTTCTTATAGTTTTGACATCATGCAAAACATATCTAAAGAAAAGTTACACTCACAACCAAGTCCTTGAACTTCCAACATTCAAGTTTCAACAATCTTTTTATTCGAGAGAAGAATTTGAAAAGTGGTGGTCAAACTACTTCCAAAACACCTACTATGAGCCAAACTTTCTTCAAAGGATGGAAATCGCTCTTACCACTCTACAAGAATTTTTGGCATCCAAAGCAGATGTATATTTAATTAAGTCCCACTTATCTGGACTAAACATCTTTATTTACTCATGTATTCTTTTGTAGCCAAAGGCGCAAACACCACCACTGAAGGCCGAGAAAATAACCCTAAAAAGGTAATTTTCACCTATTTCTTTTCATATGAAATTCGTTATGATTATGAATTTATTCCTTCCCTCTAGGGTCAAAAGAGAGGTCAATGTTCTCCCAGTGCTTCGACGCAACCCAAGAAAAAGAAAATCACAAAAACTGAACAAACACGGGTATGCATTTGTTTTATATTCTTAGCTTAGTTTCAAAAAATATCAAACTAATCATTTTATCTTCTTAGGCTACTTCAAAGCAATCAGAGTATCAGGTCGAAGAAGAAAGTTTGGATGATGTCGAAAATTTGAGGTAACAATTAACAGGCACATAGAAGAAAAACTCTTTTATGAGTCGACACATACGAGTTTGGTCTCACATATCAAAATTATTTTTAGTGTGTGATCATTCAATTTAACAAATATATAAAGCATGAAAAGTCAATTTAAGATTTCACAAGCACCGTGCGTCCTAAAACTGACCAAGAAACACTAGCATCCACCATAGTTCAATGTGAATATTCATGCCAAAAATACATCTAAGCACTTATGCATTAAGAATTTACAGAACAAATATTTCATAGAGCTATTTAACTAAACACATTCTAAGTCAATAAAATTTAAACACTATTTAAAATTACACCCATTAATTTTAAATTACAATATACTTAATTACAAAAATTACAAAAATTACAAAAACTAGCACAAGATTGTATATATCTAAGTATCAACTTATTATTGAAAAACAAAACATCCAACTTAAATAAAATTTGATGGCTATATAATCATATAAAACACAGTGACAACTTTTCTACTCATCATTTATAGCACTTTTTTCTTCTTGTACCAAAGCATGGCAAGAAGATATAAGATTAAGCAAGCAGCAGTGCATAGGAAAATTGTCACAAGGAACAACTTATCCTTTTCAGCATGAAATATCTCAATTTCAATATTCATACCAAAGATACCTGTCACCAGAATAAAGCTATTCACGATCACACTTATTGTGCCTATGTGAACTCCAGTTTGTAGAATGCGGTTTTGTTTGTCATCTAATGTAATGTTTATGTAATCTTCTGTGTCCTCAACGTATTCATTCAACTTCAATAACACAATCCAAAGATATATTATTATAAGTAAAAATTATTTTTTATATTCATTAAATAATTTATGTATCTGATTTATATATATATATATATATAAGATTGCGTACCATGGATAATTTGTTGAGGGTGCTACCAATTTGCACAAAGTATGCTCCTAAGAGCTTCTCAAGCTCCTCAACACTTCCTACATCACTGTTGACAGTAGCAGCCTGGGTTTTAGGTATTTGGCCACTAACAACACTTTCAGAGTCTTCATGATAGATTAAATCTCGACCTTGTTCTAATGATATTTCGGACGAAGTCCTGATAGATTTAAAAGGATGTAAGATATAGAATAATTGTTATTATAAGAATTAAGAAGTATATATAATGAAATGAAATGCCTGTCAGGTGTATTTGGTTGAAGAACTTGATTCATCATGATGTCATCCCCATTGTTATTCATGGATGAGGATGTAGAAGAATTTTCAAGCTTCTGTTGAGACAATTTATCTGTAAGATATAGTTCAGCCATGTCTCCATCATCATCTAGCAATTTTTCTAATTCGTCCCTTACCTGAAAATGGTTATAGGTTTTGGATTTATATTTTAATATATTGTCGGTATAAACATTTATACAAGTTACATATTATTTCAATTGGATACTAAACTGAAAGTTTTAAGAATTGGAAATGGCCTCGAGTTTCTTTTAGAGAAATTTGAATTTTGTAGGAAATAAGAGAAATAGAATCATAGTTGTCACGCCTCAACTAAATAGCCGACCCCAACACATATATAGAGGGTGATTGTTAAAAGAGTTTATAGAGTGAAGTTGTTTGTACTGTTGTTTTAGAAACCAAATCAAAGATCAAACGAGTGAAACCTTCAAATTAAAGCTTAATTGGTTCGACCGAACCAGTTAAATCGTAGTTAAACTAGATAATAAATAAATATATATACATATTTTTAATGTGTGTGTTATAATCCAATTCTTATTAAACTAATATTTTATAGAGCGAATAATTCTTTTTTAAGGCGCTATGGGAGCTTATTCGATATTGTGATTTATAAATGTTTCAAAGATCTAGAGTTGTTTGGCTTGAGGAAGGGGATGCGAATAAAGGGTACGTTCATGCTTGTGTCAAGTAAAGAAGTCGAAAGAATAGTTTGATTGCTCTTCATGTTGGGGACTGGTGGGTGGGTAAAGGGCCAGAGGTTAGAGGGGAGATTTCTAGTTTTTTTAAATAGAACTTTAGCGATTCTTTGAGTTCTAGATCTACCATTGATGGGTTTATCCTTCCTTGTCTCTCGTTATCTAAGACAGAGTAATTTATCCTTCCCCGAATTGATGGGTCCAAGAGCATGGGCTCATATGGGTTTAATTTTTCCTTCTATAAGTCGTTTTAGGGACTTATTAAGTCAGAGGTGTTTGAGATGTTTGGATAGTTTTTTCATAATAATGTTTTATCAGAGAGTTTAACGTCTTTTTTTGTTTCCCTTATCCCTGAGGTAAATTCTCCTATGGGTTAGGGAAATTTTAGGCCTATCTCTCGTCTTCGCTCTTTGTATAAATTAGTGGCTAAGGTATTCATGGTTAGGCTGGTATGGGTTATGGAAAATTTAATTTCTTTTGAGCACTCGACCTTTGTTAGTTGGTTGATCGTGTGGTTTCTCTATATGAGATCTTATATCTTTCTATGAGGTCAAAAGAGAGTGTTTTGTGTTCAAAGTTGATTTTGAAAAGGCTTATGATTCAGTTAGCTGGTCTTTCTTGAGCTACTTGCTGGTGAGATTTGGATTTGATGGTAGGTGGAGAGCATAAATTAGAGCTTGTGTCTTTTTTAGGAGTCTTTCCGTGTTGGTGAATGGGTTCCCAACAAAGGAGATCAATATCTAGAAGGGTCTGAAGAAAGGAAACCCTTGGCACGCTTCCTATTTTCTTTTGCGTATTGAGGGTCTTGCCGCTTCTTTGAAAAGAGGGGTTATGATTGAATTTTAAGAAGGGTTTAAGGTAGAGAACAAAGGGTTACACGTGTCTAATCTCCAATATACTGATAATACAATGCGTGTGGGGTTTTCATCTGTTAATAACCTTTTGACAATTAAGGCACCTCTCCGAAGTTTCGAACTTTCCTCGAGTCTTAAAGTAAATTTTTTCAAGAGTTTTCTTTATGGTGTTAATGTGGACATATCTTTTCTAGATAGGGCTAAGGATTTTTTGCATTGTAAGTTCAATACCCTACCCTTTAAGTATTTAGAGATTCCAACGAGTTTGAACCCTATTAAGAAAGGGACGTAGGATCATCTAGTTCATCTTGTCTCTAAGAGATTAGCTTCTTGGAGGAATAGATTTGTTAGTCTTTGAGGGAGGGTGGTCATTGTGAATTCAGTGTTGAACTTTATTCTAGTGTTCTTTTTGTCTTTAATGAAGATGTTTGCTTCAGTCTGGTAGAAGTTGGTTGGTTTACAGACGTTTCTAAGGGGTGATAAGGTTACTTAGGTGAAGTGGGCGGATGTGTGTAAGGCCAAAAGGTCTGACAGTTTAGGTGACAGAGATCTTAGGCTTGTTAACCTTGCTCTATTAAGTAAATGGAGGTGGACAATTATTATGAATGTGTCTTCATTGTGGAGAGATATTTTCTCAGCAAGGTATGGTTCACATGGTTTTGGATAGCTGTTGGAGGTAGGTTTTAGGACCTTACGAGGGTGTCTTAGTAGTGGAGAGGGGCAACCAAGGCCTTTGTCGAAGTCGTTCTCAAGGGTATTTCAGCTATTTTTGGGTTTGAAGAGAGGGGAAATTGGCGTCTGTAGGTCTTGTCTCGATATCATATTCTATAGTTTGGGATATTTGGAATATGACAAATAAAGTTATTTTTAGATGGGTTCACTTGATGGTTAATCAATGGATGTTTTCAATTATCAGTTTGGCATAGAAGTGAGTCTAGCCCATGCTCTGGGTTTTGTCGTTTATCTGCTTGACTGGAAGTAGAATTTGCTTAAGTGGTTGGGTGTTCAAGGGTGTGATGGTTGGCTAGCTGCCCTCCTTTTTTATAGGTGTTCGAGTTCTCCTTCCTCATGCTCGCACTCTCCGGAGGTTTTTTGTTCTTGTGAATGGTGAATATATCAAATCGGTGGATGGTTGGTTTTTCCATGCTTATTGTTAATATAAACCAAGCAACCCTAACTTCTTCAACATTATTTAGCTTTATTATTAGAAGCATCTCAACCACAATGAAATAAATTGAACTCAAGCTTTATTATCCATACAAATGATAAACAATACACTTAAAACTAATAAAACGTCATTTTCACAATGAGACCTAACCCTACTATGTGAAAAATGACCCTTTACAATTAAGCTCTAATGGCATACTAAGAAAGAAGAAATAATGGGGTAGACAAGAGAAAATCATTAGACTTTTTGTGAAGAAAAAGAATGTTTTAGAGAAGAAAATATTAACGGTATGGTTTCCAAGAACTGGTTACAGTTTAGAGGTTCCTCCAATTCTCGCATGTCCAAGAAGATTTTATATGTTTTCCACTGGTACTTAGTGACTTCCGGTCTTATATTTTTCTGAACTGGTATTAAATGTTTTTTCATTTCAATTGATTGAATTGGTTGTTGTGGTCCAATTTTAAAAATATTGGCTTTTAGTTCACCTTATTTGATCGATATATTTATATTCATAGAAATAAACTTCAAGCCACTTATGAAGGTTTGGTGTAAGAAAACGATTAGACTGCTCTAATTGGAAGGTTTTTAAAGCTTTTTCATTTGCGTATATATAGAAAGATAAACTTGATGTTATGGTTGTGAAGTGTTTTTCATTGATTATCATAAAGGTGTGAAGAGATACAAATTATGGAAGATGGAACATGGAGGATCAAAGTTTACCATAAGCATGGATGTTTCATTTGATAAGAATTAGTTTACCATAAGCATGGATGTTTCATTTGATAAGAATTATGGGGATGAAATGCAAAAAACTAAACATGAAATAATCATATATAAGGTCGAACCGATCATATTGAAGAACAAATTTCCTACTAATGAGACTAGAGATGAGAAAAAGGTGAAGCACTGGCTTCTAATTCTAGATAATAACACCCTACAGTGGCTGCATACTATTAGAGAAGAACCATACATGGGAACCTATGAGACATTACTTGAGATAAAAAGGTATTTTGATGAAAATGGTTTTATCAGGTTGAGTTTTTAATATATTTTGTGTTTGTGAATGACAAGTGTTACACGTTTTTGATGTCAATTTGAATATAAATTATCGTGTTGGCAATACGTTTTGATATTAAAACCACATTGTGAATTTCTTGTGGAATGTTATGTTTTGTTTGTGACAAATTTGTAAAGTTCTTGATTTTGAATCGACAATAATATTCTTGATTTTAATGTTGATTTTCAATTGTTATGTCGTGTTATGATTGATAAGTTCAAGGATTCATGCCATGTTCAATTGATAATTGGAAGAATCTTGGGTATATTTCGTTTTGAGTTCAAAAGACCAACTTGTTTGTTGTATTATTATGTTTTCGTGTTTGTGTTTGAGTTTGTTGAGATGAGTTTATTGTGCGATAATAGACTATATGGTTGTTGTCCGGATTTGGTTCGATTGATTTTAGTTTGCTTTGAGCTCAATTTCCACGTTTTGAATGGATTGAACAATATCACGAGTTCTTTGGTTTTAGTTCGTTTATGAATTGAAACACTTGAATAATGATTGCTTGGTTCTTCATTTGTTCATATGCACTCATTTGATTTCATTTTGATTTTTGTATCTTGTAAAAATTAACTTGTTTGTTAGTTTGTGCAAGCTTCTCATGACGGATTAAGTAGCCGCTTCCGCTTCCCACCTTTTATCCGCCTTTAATTGATTAAACTAGTGTTGATTTGTTTATTTAATTTTGTTATTAAAGATGGATTAGTTTGCTAATCTATTTTTTTAAACTCGATTATTTAATTTAATTAACTCTTGATTAATCGATTAAACTTTCATTGTATGATACTTTGTTGCTTTAGTTAATTAACTAAAAGTCGATTTGGTTATTAAAAATTAATTAGTTTTGACTAATTAACTTTTCTTAACTTAGTTAATTAACTTAATCAACTTTTAAGTTAATTAATTAAACATCTATTTCCATATTTCATTTGTTTCATTTTAGCTTTGATACAGGTTTCTAATTCACTCGGAGATGCTCGGATTATTTCTCTGCTATCCTATTTGTCTGTTCTATTTGTGTATTTTATCTGACATGAATTCTTATTCAACACTTTAAGCTTTTATCAGATATCTTGAGCTTGCTTGATGCATCTTTTGATTATGATTTATTTTCACATTGATGATGCTTCGACACTTATTTTGAGCATTCGATTTCTGAATCTTTTCTTTGTTGGTGAAGCTGTCGCGGAGATCTTCGAGTTTCTTTTGCTTTGATATCGCTTTGCTATGGACTTTTTGTTTGTTTGGTATTGTGCTTATCCTGTTTATATTCTGCATTGTCTTTTCGATTTCCTTTCCATGAGAAGTAAGAATAGAGATGCATGTTCTGGGAGTCCTTTTG